CGGGGATAACGGCAAGCTCTGTGTCATGGCGATGACGAGGAGTGCGACCCTCGTCATTCCGTGCTTGTGCACTGCTGTACTCCTCGTTGCAGCCGAAGACACCTGAACTCTGAAGTCCCTGCGCGCTAGAGTAAAACGAAGGAGGGTCGTCCGAGTGCTTGCCATTTCATATCAACATAATTGGCTTTCCAAATATATCTCAATTTTTATTAGCTGAAGATCTGGTGGAATGAAGGCCGATGAAATAAAACATGCATCCAGAGGTCGATCTTGCACCAAACTTTTCCGGTTTCTGCATCAAGGTGCAGCAATGGTGTCCGCCCTAAAGAGTGCACGTAACGGCACTTGCCAGGAAAATGGCATCCGATTCCAGAAAAGTCCGAGCGTCCATGTCATTGCTGTCACCAAAATTCAGTGCCATGCAACAAGGTGCAGTCCGAATTACACTTGAATCTTGCTGCAATCAGCTTTTCTATTGGTTGATTTGCTCAATTTGGGTTCGGACTTTGCTACAGTTAAATGTTATTTTTCCTGGCAAGCTCCACTTTTTCCATTTCTAGAGGTGCACGGCAGAACCGCTTTGCGATGAGATCTTGCCTTGAATAACCTTATAGCATCGTTGAGTTCCTGGCACTACCCAGATTTATTTATGTTTCTTATAAAACTTGTGGTGCGTCAAAGTTCCCGAGCAGCGAAGCAAGAAGGCTCATGGGCTTAGACTGTTTGGATGGTCTGTTGAATTTGGTCAGTGAAACGGAGCTACGGGCATGTGCCATACATTTCTTACTTAAAACGAAGATGGGCGGAGACCTAGGTGGATGAGTCATTGCAATTCAATATTCAATTCAACAGACTCCATTTATCGATTTTTCAGCATTCCATCCCTTACTGCCATGGGAGACATTTGAAGAGTGACCACGGAGGAAAGCGGGGGTCAGAAGCTATCGCCACCTGGTGGCCCTCGCAGCCGGGCAAATGATATGTGATCTGGCAGAGGCGGCTGCAGGCCTTCGTCAGAGAGGAGGGTTTCAGGTAGCAGGCTCTTTGTCAGATAGGTTTTTCTCTAAGCACGTTGGGCTTTCGGGGCTGACTAAACCATCTTTTCGGATGGCTGCTGCTTGTGCCGGAAGAAGCGCACGTTGTGCATGCTCGCGTGCCAAGACTTCGCTTTCTGAGCACCCCGTTGTGCACTGTTTCGTACACCAGAAAATGCAGGTTTGCACAAAACGGTGGTGTTCTTAATCCTGAGCTGCACTAGATGAAATTCGCAGGTGGGTCAAAGTATGCAGGTCAAGCAGATCCCGCTTCTCACGTGGGTTTCTTGTTTCCTGTGTGGTATGGACGGAAAGGTAGTATGTTGCATTTGGCCCGAGAGAAGTCACTCAAGATGCTTGGTGGCGCACCTCTGCCTCAGCTTACATGAGCTTGCCATAGCTGCTTGGCATGGCGACGATCGATCACTGGGGCATCCAAAAGGCCCATTGCCTGCTTCTGCTTTGAGGGCACTTGTAACCTTGGTTCTCTGTGGACGAACGGTTGTCTGCGGGCAAGATTCAGGCGGCTTGGCAGCTGGAGGATGCATTCCAAGATATACGCATTGACGTCTATCCCGACACGACCAAAGCTCAGATGAGAGACACGGCATGTCGCATGAGTTCACTGCTGTGAGTTGATAGACTTGGCGAGTCTGAGGCCGAAAGCACGGGAAGCACATTTTCAGTTTGTGACAGGCTCAGCACAGAAACACCCCGATTGTTAGGCTACGTGCGAAGTTCTGCAGCCTTTCTGTCGTCTTCTTCTGACTTCAGCAGCTGTCACCGAGGTTTGGGCCGAGGCCGGTGTGCCCAGGGCGATGCGGGAGTGGGGGGTCTGCCGGGGGAGAACGGGTTCGCACATGCATAGAGGGTGTTCCGCTTGCCATACAAGAAGAATTGCTGAAGAGCTTCGGGTTTTTCTTCTTTGAGGGATCGACTTACGAGGCTCCCATCCGGGAATCTGTTCGGCCAAGTCCAAGATGACTTGTGACAGAGTGCACCCAGCAATCAAGAAGAATGTCGAAGTTTGGACCAAACTATTGCAATGTGCGTCCCAGCAGATGTCTTTCAGATGCCCAGGTGACCTACAAGCGAGCTTTGCTGGGACTCGTGTTGCTCTCGATCTTCGAGACGCCAACATGGTTCGCCCTTCAACGCCTATTTGCCAGCTGGGATTTCTTGAAAGGTTTCGCTGAGTCTGCTCGATGCTGCGCAGACAGAAGGTCAGCACACGTCAGATCGAGGAAATTCGCAGGGACACGCTCGTTTTTCTGACACGTCGCGAGGCTTGTGCTCTTGGATGTAAGCAAGATGCTAGTCGAGCGCGCCCCACATGTTGTGGCTCTGGCAATTAGCTTCGTACAACATCCTTCAGAGGCAGAGCCTCATGTCTCCTGAAGTAAATTGCAGATAATCCAGGCAGCGCTCAGCCCATGTGACATAAAGCCTCCTCACCCCGGACCCGAAGCCCACAGCCACAGAAGTTCGTGTTTCGCCTGAACGGGAGCGGCGAAGAAAGTAGGCGAGTTCGGCTTGCACTCATGTCGTTCCATGTGCCGCCACTCGAGGCCATCAAGCAGCCAGTGACATGTCAACATGAGCTATTACCAGCAACTGTGGTACAACTACTGTTATTGTTCATTGTTATCCTAGCATCTCATGTGTTGCTGTTGCTCTTGTTGCTGATGCCAGAGCTATTGCCATAACTATGGGCCATAACCGAATGAATCTAGTGGCGATAGCACAAGTCATGGTCAGAGATATAGTAGGGCCATGAGTGCCGGCGGTGCTACTGGTATTACGAGCACTACGCGAACTACTACTACGACTCTGAGCAGCAGGGATACCAGTACTCATATGGAATGAATCTTTTGAAAAGCGATCATGGCAATCTGGCAGCAACAGTCATAATAGTTAGTGCTGGCTTTGTCAACTGTCGCAGTAATGGTAATGTCGGCAGACATGGTATGGGTCAAGACTGCCTACTGCCGCTCCTCCCGTCAGTAAACGCCGCACGGCTTGCTTGCAGCACGAGGCGCCCATGGCGTGATGTCCGTGGATGATGAGACGGTCCCTTAAGAACAGAAGCACCTACAGAGGGACGCGCATGTCAGTGCCATGTGGGTAGTTGTCAAAATTATAGTCCTTTTTGGGGTACCTTAAATAATAGGTGCCGTATTATAATAAGGACGCAAAAAAGGGACCATCATTTTGACAACCACCCATGTCTAGGAATTCGGTCCGTGCACAATGCTGCCAAGGGCCGGTGATGAGGCTGTCCCGCGGGCTGCATCACCAGCCGGAGCCTTCAGAAACCTTCACATTCGGATGGATTTAGAGCAGGAAGAAGATTAGGGTTTAGGGTTTAGGGTTTAGGGGTTTAGGGTTTAGGGTGCGAAATGTGCTAGTGAGAAAAGCTCCAAGGCATGGTTGCTTTTCGAGACAGGTTAGCGCACTTGTCTGAAGGCATGCCGGGTGTGAATTAGCAGATCTTCAGCATGCTGCGAGGCCTGCAGGCACTAGGTCACCAACAAACTTTAAACATCCATCGATCGGGAAGTCGCAAATACTGCAAACCCTGAACCCCAAAACCTCAAATCCTAAGCCCCTAAACACTCATGACCGAGGCCCTGTGCCCTCAGCCCCGAACCAACCTAAACCTAAAACCCTCGACCCTAAACCATCCTAGGGCGCCTTGAGCCGGCGGAGACTTTTGAAGGCGGCAGAGCATGGCTGTGCAGCTGGTGGCTTACAGACGGTTTAGGGTTTAGGGTTTGAAGAAAAAAGTGATACCAAGAATGCAATACTTACATCAGCTTACACTGGCAGTAGTCATAGCAGCAGTACTATTCACAAAAGCAGTAGCAGGATTACTGCATGTAAAGGTTTTGGCTGCCCAATCTTCTGGACGACGGTGTGCAGAAGCGTTTTTTGGCACAGCCCTGTGCTTTTAAGCCCTGAAGCCTAAACCCTAGACCTTAAGCCCTAA